GTAAGAACATAATAATAAAAGATCACATGAATATCAGATATAGTCTTGAGGTAGGACAAAGTCTAGTCTCCTAAAGTTTATCAAGTTGCACAACATTTCACAAAAGATAATCTGTTTGTTTCTTTCCCAGAGCACACCTATTATTCCACCTTTATTTATTTTGACATTAAAAAAAAACAAAAAAACCCCTCAAGATGCCAAGCCAATTCCGCAAGGAGTCAGTACCAATGTGCCAGTAGCTCGCATATCCAACCCAGTCTCCTTGCGTAGTTGGAGATGCTCTTATCTTAAAGCTGAGATCTCTTGCAACAGTTGGGCTAAAGGAAGTCTAAAAGGTCTCACACAAGCATTAAACAAATCTAAAATTGGGAAAATTAAGAATTAAGGCATAGGTTGTTAAATATTATGTTAGTGCTAAAACACCTTGAGAGAAAAATCCTGGCTGCATTCCAGTAACAAATATTCATCTAACTGATAGCTTCAGTGAAGTAGAAGCTAAAACAAACAAAACTCCCCCAAATTCTGTGACACTTACAGGAAAAAGAAGAAAATCTTAACTAAATATCTGTTAAGGGTACAACAGGAATAAATAAAGCCGATTCACTACCTACAATCCTATCCACTTATTCATGTCTCCTCTCAGCCATCTGCGCTTGTCACGTGATGGGTACACACATGTACTTTTTCAGAGCAAAGAGAGGTGTGGCCTGTGTATATGGTGGGGCAGAAGGGAAGGGAGAGATGTTGCTGGAAGGGCATCACTTCTCCTTAAAAACCTGAAAACTTTGTTCAGAATGAGGTTTTGGGTCTATGTTTATGGATTGCTCTTACCGCCCTGCTCCCCGCCCCCCAGAGTGCAGGGGAAGCCAGTATGACGGTGGCTGAAACTTTACCCAGATAGGTACCATTCAGGGAGAGCCTCTTTGAATTTTGGAGGAAGCTGGAGAAAATCCAGGCTTCTTTACTTTATTAAAATCACAGTCAATAAGGAGAAACCTCGAGGAAATGGATTTTCTCAGCAAGTGTTCTGCTTGGTCTTGATTTAAAATGAAAAGAGGAATCTTGATTAATCAGGGAACACCTGAGCCTCCCCATCCTCGTAACTCACATCCCTTTCCTTTACCACTTCCTCTATGTTGGTCTCCTTCGCCTTCTCGCTTTTTTTCTTTATGCTTTCTCCTTATTTTCAAGGCCCTCTTTTGTTCTCCTGTCTTCTCTCATCTTTTCTTTCTTATTTTGCCCTTTTTCCCCCTGGATTTTATGTTCTCCTCTCCCTCAACCACTTTGTTGTTCTATAGCGACCACGCTTTAAGCAAGAACCTTTCAAAAACATTTTCTGCCCCTGGTTGCCAGAAAGAACCAGCCCTCTACATCTTGTCCTCAAAAAAAGGAGATATTAAATGAGAATGAATGCACCACTCGCTGACAACGTTGCTGTGTATTTTCTGGCTACTGACTATCTCAATTCAAGTCTATTTAAAGGTTTCTTCATTAGCTTTGTACTTAAAATACGAACTAGCCAACATGTTTTTCTCTTTATATCCCTGAATAGAGTATATTCTTAGAATTCCACTCATTCTGTCCTTTTTAGCTCTTTCATCTCAATTAAAAGAAGTCCCTTCCAGGATGTTTCTCTGTATGTTACCCTCTTCTTTCCACTTTCTCAGGATTGCTCTTGAACTTGAAAAGGTAGCCTTTTTAAATAGTGTTACAATAGCTATAAAAGGATTTCTATCATCTGGATGAACCATGTTATATATTTTGTTTCTTAGTTATTAGATCCAGGGTATGTATCGCCCAAGAGTAAATGCTGTACCTTTGGACACAGTAACTGTTTCTCAAAAACGGATCATGATGAATTTGCACACACGACAGCTTCTTACATTAGTTTCAAGTCTCAGCTTATCACATTTCTATATTTCCTGAGGACATCCAGAACAAAATTTCCCTGCCTTCTGCACAGTGTTATTTTTATAAAACCAGACTTTTATTATAATAAAGGAGAGAGTGGGCTCCTTTCTCTTGCAAGAGATTATCCCAGCTGCAATCACAAATCTACTAAGAAGTTTTTACCCCCTTACAAGCTAATGATAATTTTTCAAGTATTTCCTCTATGCAGTTTTTACATCTGAAAGCAAATGGATTATGTTTTAAAAAAATCCAGCTTTATGATGGAGAGCTATTAGAATGCATGTCATACTTGAACTTGACTTACCAGCAATCTATGGTAAAGAAATGAAATTAAATAATTCTGCAGAAATATGCGTATATTAATAAATATATATAATTAAATATATAATATATGCACACCTATATATTAGATAATTTCAACTTACAGCATCCAAAAATCATGATGTTAACATTTTTGTCTAATTCTGTAGCAGATTCTGTTTTATAAAACATTTTAAAACCGTGTTTAATATATCAAGTTTTCTAAAGAGAGATAAGCATTCCCAAAATGAACTTGAACGTGTTAATGACTCTGGAGATATTTGTAATAAACACATGTCGTTATATCCCTTAATACTGAAAAAGCACTGCAAGAAACATCAAAAATTAAGTTAGCTCGTATTAAAGCTTATTCATAAATCTCAAGTCCATCAGATTTAATTGCAGTGTGTTCCAGGATGATATATAAAAGAGACATAGAGGAAAATATTTGAGCTACTTTTTAATTTGTTTTAATGTCTATCATAACCTCAAAATTACTGTTTCCAGGAACCATAAATACCAGAAAAGTCATCTTTAGCAAAGATTAAAGCACATTCATTCTCTTTAATTTTCCCGAGCCCTTGACTTCTCTATTACTGTAGCATATTATATCCATTTCAATTAAAAAGAATATATCTTGTCTGTCTTTAGACAACTACTATTTCTGTTCTTTAACTACATGTCTGTTTTTGTTATTTTGAGGAGATTAAGTAGATAATAGATTCCACCAAAATTGCAGCCTGAAATAATGTAGTTGTTTCTGTTAATAAATCTACCATCCTCTCCAGTCTTGAAAATTAGCTTTTCAACCCATTCTTAGTCTGCATTATACATCTTCAGGGTCTGTGGCTCTCCAAGACCTAGGTGTGCTTGTGAGAATAGGTGAAACGCTTCCTGCTTACACTGTATTTGATTAAAGAGTTAACATACACATTTATTAACGAGTCATTATATATAATTAAGTGTAAATGAGCAGTCACGGGCTTATTACTTGCACTCCAAATGACAATACATCCACTCAACTGATTATTAAAGAAGGTGTGTGTGTGTGTGTGTGTGTGTATAATTGTTTATCAAACTGAAAAACTATGCACAGAGCTTGGAGAGGATGCTCATATTCACATATTAAAGTGTTAAATGGGACTTCCTAAACTAGAATGAAGACAAGGTTTCCTAATGTGTTACAAAATTCTGCTGATCCTCTAAGGATTGATATCATGGAGCAGGAAGAAGAGTAGAGAAATCAGACGCATGCTGTCAGTACTTTGAAAAGTCTTGCTTTTTATTTATTATTTTTTTTAAAGCTTTGCTTTTTGAAAGTTATTATCACTCTCCTGACTTTCTTCTTCTCGTACAGTCCTCCCCTACCTGCAGTCTTTGTCATTTATTTCAAATGTTCTGAACCAAGGACAATTTTCCTGAAATCACTTCAGATGTCTAAATGTGCACAGACCTTATATGAATACATCTCTCTCTCTCACACACACACACACACACACGCACTCCATTTGCGACCAGTGCGTTTTGTTCCTTAAGATTTTTTTCAAAGAACTTAGTAAAGGGAAACTAGGTAGAATAGAAACCTGAAGGAATTTGTATAGCGTGTCCTAGAATGAATGTTTGAGATTGATAAGAAAGGACACCTGGTAAGACCTTTGACATCTTTGAGTTGTGTCTTTGACAAAGGAGTTTCCCTTGAACCTCTGAGACACTGATGGCAGTTGGCAGCCTCAGAACAGACACTTGATCCCTATCTGTGTGATTACACTACCCGAAGTATTAAAAAAAAAAAAGACTCTTAATCCATGTTACCATTCAGTTTTAAGATCAAACACTGGATTCTTAAACTTCTCATTCCTTGCAGATCTTTGCTGTCTAGATGAAGAAGAGATGCATTTCTCAACATTGCCGTTGACTTGTAATTTTGACATTGCTATTAAATGGTTTCAACCAATGCAGCATAAGTTACAGTTGGGAGTCACAGGTTCCAACCTTGGTTTCCTATGTGTCTTTGAGCAATAATTTCCTTCCTTGCTTCACTTGCTTTCCTCTCAGATCAATACTTTGTTTTGGCTTCATTAGTCTTTGTTTAACTAAATAAGATAGGTTTTTATTCAAGGGTTATTTAAATAAGTGTGTAATGCCTTACAGTATTTCCTTTTATTGTTATAAATATCATATTAAGTGCTATATTCTTCCTAAGTAGAAATTCATTAGCCAAACCAATTCATTGCTATATAAAGAAAAATACATACTACAGAAAATGAGGACTTAAGTGGGCAAACAGACAAAACTACTATCATCTATCGCATTCACCTTTTATCCCAGAGGTAACCCCAGAGTAATCTAACACAAAATAGTGGATTGAAAGGTACTATTCCAAAATAAATGTGTAGAGCAATAGATTCAGATATTCCACTTGAATTCAGTGCAGACATAGCAAAGCTGAATGAAGTGGAGATGCAATCTTTGGGCCGGAAGGGAGAACATTACCCTCCTTTTCCCCTTGTAAAATCAAATCATTACATGAGGAAAGATTATGACTGTCAAGTAGATGTAACTTTTCTTTCATGTCAGTATGAGAAGTTTGAAATCCGCCTTTTACTACGTATGGGTGTGTGCATGGAACTACCATGGTAAATTGAATTAACAATGAGCAGTCTTTTAAAAACAGGATGAGTCATTACACTGCATGCTGCCATTCCTATTACTTTACCATATAGAGGGAAGCAGTGCTTCAACAGTAAGGATGCTGTTCCCTTAAATAAAAACATAATAATGCTACCCACCTCCTAAGCCCGGTCTCAGGCGGTTGTCATAACCATCTAAGAGTCGGTCCAAAATCCTGGTGAAGACAGTGGTGTTATCTTTAAGTTCATCTTGTAATGATGGTTGTCCATAGCTGGAAAAAAAAAAAAGAGAGAGAGAGAGAAACATTAATAAAGCAATATCTAAATTATACATTTCTCCTAAAACCTTTTTCCAAATACAGCCATCCTCAGATTTTCCTATTTCCTTTCTATTGAGTCTTCATTTGAAAATTTCTTCTGGCAAAGTTAAAAAAAGGTCATATTTTAATTCTTAACCATTTTTTTTCCTATTTGCTCTCATAGATGACATGCATTTTATTCTAATATTTCAAACTATGGAAGGAAAATTACAGGAGATGAGTTGTCTCTTTATATTTATAATTCTCAGCATGCACACAGTGTTGTAATGCAGGTCTTCTCTGGGCGAGCAAGATCATCAACGCACACTAGTGAAAAAATAAATAAACCTGGGAAACTTCTTCCCAGATTAAAAAAAAATGTATTTCTGAGGTACCAAAATAATTAATAGCTTTGTTTTAATTCACCATGTAGCGTAATCCTAAGATTTCTCCTACCAACATCCCTTCTTTTATTCGCTTCATATATATCTATGTTTTGTGTTTTGGGTGTTTTCTTAAGATATTTAGGTGAGAAAAATAGATAAAACTGATTCCTTAGGATAATTATGTGTTCACATCAGTGTGTAATTTCCATTCCTTTTAAGGTTTCTGAACCAATAATTGTCTATTCAAACCTCTAATTAATTGAATTTTTGTCATTTCTGGTCTTAGAAGTAAAGGATACCTTGAAAAAGATATGATCCAACAGTCTTAATTTATGGTTTATTAAACTGAAATGCAGGGTTAGTGTTTTAAGAAAACACAGCCATTTGTCAGCAGAGTTTGAACTAGAATCCAATTTTATTTAACTTTTAGCCTAAAACTTTATTCCATTCTTTCATATCAGTGTAATTGTCCCTATTTAAGTCTTTCTAAGTGAAGGTCTAGTTTTTAATTCCTCACCATTACTAGCCTTTGATTTCCAACCACATAGTGACCACAATGGTTCAAATATTATATAATTCTCACATCAATCACATTATTACCTATGCTCTTTAAAGTCATATTTTATGTAATGGTTAGGATGACACCTCCAAAATCCTTTCAGAGAAGAGTTTTCTATCTTCTGATGGATCACACTTACTGATATATTTCAATGACAGCTCTGACCTTGAGCAAAAGAAAAAAAACAAATACACAGTATAAACTAAGAAACTGCCTAAAAATGTCACTTTCCTGCATCCTCTTTAATATGCTTTTGGATTCTCTCTTGTGTATTTATACTGCTAATCAATCTAAGAAGAATAGTAACATTTGAAATCAAGATTAATTTATTTGACCAAAGCAAGAAATACAATCAAAGTATCAATTCAAAAACAAACACTATTGTTTAAGTAATTAATTTTATATTGGCAAAATACAGTGGCCATTTTTCTGATAAAACTTTAATTTAATAAGGTATTCTAACAAAAAGCTCTTCATGAGATGAAATACATGAACTGTCTATGAAACAATTTTACATTCTCCCGAGTTCAGCATTAATACCATGCAGATTGAGGGTTTACTCTCCTTTGGCAAAATTAAACATCTTAACTAATTTTTGAAATCAAGTTTTCAACGAGCTCTGTGTCTTCCAGGGCATCTCATTACATGACAGCAGTAAAGCAAAAATAGTTTTCTGAATGCAATTATTTATAAAAGCTCATTGTCGCAAAATCAGCTGCCATGTCTGCATCTTTCAAGGATACTGGAAGGTCATCTTGATAAAGGTGGAAAAGAAATGCTAGCACACCTGGGGCTGTGAAGAGGGCCTGACCAAGTACTCTAAAGAAAGCAACAAAATAGGAAGAGGGAAAAAGATGAGATGGGGTGACATGACAGAAGACAATTAGATGGTTAATATGATTCCTAGAATATGGGGTGGTCTGTTACCTTTACCTGCATCCCCTTTGTTATTACAGCTTACGTCAAATGCAGGAAATTCTCCCTCCTTTTTAAAAAAAAAATGTTGTTTTCACCAATTATTTGCATTGGAATTCAAAATTCTAGGAGACTTTTCTCTCCCCCCCCCCCAGAAAACCAGTTCTGCTATGCCAATTGGAATGGTAATCTTTCTGTTATGTGATTTTCTAATCAGGTTATGCGTCTTCTTTAGTTCTAATTTACCGTGGCCAATTGTAATTGTCAGAGAATAACCCTAGGATAAAGATCAAGATTATTTATTTGCTATTAAACACTTGTGCCAATGTAATGTTTCCTAAAGTGAATGTATAATTTGTAGAGGAATGTCAGTTACAGTACCTGATTTTGACTCCAGAGGAGCCACTATGTAATAAAACACTGTGCACTGACTCCATCTACAGGTCATTACAATAGTAACACTTCATACAGTTTTTTCAAAGCAGTGAAGAACATTTAACTCCTCAGATTAAGAGTATCTGGCAATAATGCATTTCCCGTTCATCTGGCAGTCTTGATTTGCCATATACAATAGCAAAAATGAAAACAGACAACGTCTCAATTTAAAAAATCCTCCTAAATCCTTATCTTTCCACATAATTCCACCCTTAATTCATAAGGGTTCACTTTTCATTGCATTATGAAGACTCTTAGAAGCTTTTTATAATATGTCTAAGGCACACTTTTGGCCCACAGGAGAGACTACACAAAAACATAGAAGTAGATAAAGAGGAATCTGAACTATTTAGTCATTTATATGGTTGCTACTATTATATGTTTATATGCTTGACTGGATCGTTAGCAAATATTTTGAATATGGTTAATCATATTATTAAATTTTTCTCATAATTCATCTCTGCAGGACTTACACTTTAATAGAGAAGTTCAGGTATCTAATGCACTTAAATACGGGTCTTGTAGATTCTACTTTTATTGTTTATATAAATAACAGTTTCAAAACATACTGCACATGCATGTATAGAAACTTTTAACTTTTAAATTACAGATATTACTTTAAACTTCCCACTTCCACAGAGTCACAAGTTACTCTATGGTCTTTACCAACTGGCTAGAAATTGTCTTACTGGAAAATCACCTCACATCGTATGCAGACATGAATTGGGGTCACTTTTTCTATGAATCAGGAGACCGCGTGTTTTATTCTGTTAACAACTGAACAGTGAAAAAGTTCAATTTAAGAATTAAATGTTGAATTAGTACATTCTCTAACAAAAGCATGTTAAGTGCATTCTAACCAACACGCAAATAAGATGATTATTTTTTCATCCTGCTCTTTTTTATTCTTAGCTGGAATTTTCTGGCAGTTAAGTTTTTTGAATTCCCTTAGTCATGAATTCGTCCAAGGACAATTTTCTTCCCCCTGAAAGAATAAGTGAAAAGTTACAGAAATTCTCATGCAGCTTTAAAATAAAGGGTCCTCACCTTCTTCCAGTCAGTGTGCTCAGGAGGAGGGTCCAGGCCCAGAGGTAGTCAGAGAGACCCGGGCTTGTCCTCATCGCGGGCTCGTGCAGCTGAAAAGTGGAACAAGTAGAGATCAATGTCTCTTGTGAGAAACATCAGGTTATAACCACTAGGGCTGACTGAGGCCGTGCAGATGAATGCTTTGAAGTCAGGCTATGACCTCACTGGAATATGACACCTCATTGGAAGCAATGGAAACCTGGACCATCCATTCTCCACTTTCCCTTCCATTTCTCCATTCAGAAATATATCAGTGTCTTAATTTCTCCTGTAAAAGAACACAAGTTGAAATGCTCTCAGGTGACAATATTGCTCAACCTCAAAACTGTGAGTTGGTTTTTTTTTCTCTAGGTTTTATATTCCCAGTATAGTTTGAATTGCTCTCTTCTTGTTGCTTGTCATCTGAAAATGTAGACCTTCCTGATTTGAGCTCCCACAACTAAACTGTGCATTGAAAATTTGAAGCTGGTGTCTACAACAGAGCATGCTTGGGGACCGTGATGGGGTAGGTTAATATGCTTTGATGACTGAATTCATCTTTGAATTCCAGATGCACCTTAATTTCAGAAGCAACTGCCATTTATCTTTAAAAAAAAAATAGGAAACACACTGTTGAATGCCGAAGTCGTGCTTGCATTCTCTGCCTGTGATTGCCTTGTTAAATATGCTCACTAATGCTTCTGTGAAGCTAAAGGACACGCTTTATAGTCAAGCCATGTGCTGATCTCACACACAAACCACATTGATATAAATGCACACAAACATGCCCACACATATCTTTTAAGCCCTCTCAAATTCTGCCAGGTTGCTGCTAGAAAATCTTTCATCTCAAACAGATGAAAGCTGGAGGGCTTTGCTTTGCATGAATAAGGGAATCTCTTTTCCCTCTTAGGTAAAGTGCAATCAATCACCGTCTGATTGTTGAATTTGACTTGGTAGTGGGATGCCGGAGGAATTGGAGGAGTATGGCAAGCTTAGAGAGTGTTTAAAATTATAATCTATGTGTGGAGTCAGTTTTTAAAAATCAGTGCACTCCCTGGTTAAGGAGCAGCTATGGTAACACCTTCTTTTAATGTGCTATAATTGATTCCAGTCATAATATGAGAAATGTTCAGGATAAAATGTGTTAGCACTTCCTTGAATCTGTACTCCTTAGACCGGTCAGTGATAAATGGATTGCAAGTCTTTTAAAGCGTATTTTTCATTAAGCACTCCATTGTTTGATATGCCTTTAAAAACATCTACACAGATGCTTTCTACACTCTCCAGGATCATTTACATCAGTAAAAAAAACCCATTCCAAACAGGTATGTAAGCAATGAAACATAATATATTTAGAGTGAAATGGTCTAGATCTAGAGATAAAAACTGTGAGCTTCATAGTTTTTCCTTAATTTAGTGACTGCTTTTGACACAGATGAGTTGAATATGACAAGAAATATTGGATAAATATCCTTATGTTGAAATACTGCTTCTAAATTGCATAATGATCATTCACCCTGTTAACGATCTTCAACATCTTTTATGAAGGAAGACAACTTCTCATACCTTATGAACATTTGTCAGTCTTTATTTTAAAAAAGGGTAATCCCTGAAGGGGTAAATGAAACAAAACCAAACCCCAAAGCAAGCTTTTTGTCCTCCTCTGACATTTTTTAAAAAGAGGAAAACAAGCCCATCATGGCACTTGAGTTGTTGAGTAAGAAAGTTTCTTGCAAATACAAACATAATAGTTTAAAAGAAACGCTAAGCTGCCTCCTTACCCCTTTCCACCTTCAACCTCCCCCCCCACCAAACACACACTCCAAACACCCATGTCCCATGCCACCCACATCAAATGCTAACTTGAGTTTTTCGCGTTCAGAATGCGAGAGACCCCCTTCGCCAGAGGGCATTTCAGCAGCGTCCACTGGAAAGGAGAAAAGAGGCATTTTTGCAGCCAGAAGGAGGAAGTGCCTTCGCTGGGATGGAGTATTGAGACAGGTTTTCTATCCCAGCGTCTTAACTTTAGGCGATGCCCCCCAGCGCCCCTCCCCACCTCATCCAGCTCTCTCTTGCAAAAAAGAAAAAGACCAAAACAACATGTCACCACCCAGCCCGCGGAATACATTCAGATCTGCCTGAGAAAGGGGGAAAGAGAAGAAGAAAGAGAAAATAATAATAATGATTAATAATAATAATAATAATAA